ATTTAACTATAATGGATCAATATAATTGTACAAAGGGAGGACATTGTTGTAGGTGAACTTTCTTGTTTTACTTCATTTCATTTTAAATATGTAAATGTATATTTTGTCTAAATTTTTTTTTTAAATATGTATCTTCCTTTACTTTTTTGTTCATACACAAATTTAAATTCTGAAAGTTTTGCGTTAAAAAATATAATTTGTAAACGAATTTTAAAACATACAACTAAGAATTTTTTTTTAGAGTTTATGAAAGAAAATTTTATGCTAAAGATGACTATGTTCAAACCTATTTTTATAAAGGAAATATAAATGATATTTTTGATTATATTGCAAGGTAAATTTTAAAATAGAAAGATTGCAAAGATATGTAACTGAGCAACATGTCTAAACCATCTCGTTTATTTTTTTAATGCTAGTTTTTATTTAATTTTTATTTTTGTTTTGGTTAAAAGGTTTAGTCAAATTTAAAAATCTTATTATAGATAAAGATATTGACCTTGCTGACAGTTCTATGAAAATTTGCATCAGATTTAAATAAGATACGTCCAAAGCATGTACCTTCTTTTCGTGAACAGAAATGATGTATTCAATTTTCGGAACAATTATTTCTCAATATCATATTTAATGTCATCAATTGTTTGATGACTTTTTCATCACAGAGCCATGTTTTGCACCAATATGGTTACGTCTTTCAGGCGTAAGCAATCTATATGAGACAAAGAAAAGTAAATAAGAAAATACTCCTTTACTTCAATTTTTTTTTAAATAAATTATTTTTTTAACATATATTTACCATAATCAAACATCTTGGTTGTTTCAAATAATGCCCCCCCCCCAAACCACTTTTTTTTACAACACACATGTATGTATTCAATTTTTCTTTTTAAAGCAAAGCATAAATTATAGATAATTTTGTAATTTTTATCATCCCCCAAAGACCTGTGATACAGTCAGATATCTGTTAATCAATGCGATATCCACTTTTTTTTTGTTGCTGTGTACAAACCTCTGAGCCTTGTACTTTTACATAACGGGTGTACCGTTCAAATATTTACACATTAAACTTAATCGAAACTTTCATGTTTTATTCGTAATAATTTTGTTGATGTCAAATGGGGAAGGCTTTTGCCCGATACATTCTTCACTTTGTTTAAAAAAATATTTTAAATATTGTAAAAATTAACAATTTTCCGTTGACCAATTGTTCTTGTAAATCCACGTTTATGCTTTTCCCAGCTAAACGCCTAACCAATGTAACTTTTTTTTTAGTTTTTTTTTTTTCAAAGCCCGGAATTAAAAAAAAAAAAAAGATGGCAAAAAAAAAAAAACAAAAAATAAAAAAAAAAAAAAAAAAAAAAAAAAAAAAAAAAAAAAAAAAAAAAAAAAAAAAAAAAAAATAAAAAAAAAAAATGAAAC